CAAAGTATAGTTAAGAAGGTAATTATCATAAAAACACTCCCGCAAAACAAAGACAAACAGAAAATGTTTTATGAGCATTTGATCACAGACATAGCGAGTAAAATAGTTAAACTTACAATGAGATTCATAGACGATATGTTAGCTTGTGAGATACATGGTGCCACCTGTTTCAAATAAAATAGGAAAAAATTGTTACAAGAGAATACACAAGAATTTGGCATGCTTTGAAAAATGACTGACATAGAAAAAAAATAGTTAGCAGCAAACTTGAGCGGGTACTACAGTTAGTATACATGAAAAAGATCATATCAGAGATCAGAATAAGGCAGACCGCGTCAATCATGTAATTCTGTTAGTCGTCAAGCTCTATGACTTCATCGTTCTTCTGTTTCTTTGCGAAGTACTGCGAAAGACGCTGATTCGCCAACGAGTTTTCGTTCTTCCTCTTCAACAAAGGCCTCCTTACGGTTCTCGACACTGTTGTTATATTCCTGAAGATACGGCATAGAGCTAATCGAGTAACACCACATATTGGAGCCTCATTGGCGAGACTTTACCTTAGTTCCAAACTCTCCAGGGCTTTCTCGGCAGCACGATGAGCTGTTCCTACTCCATTCTGCTTACTTTGAACCGATCCTTGAAATCATGAATATGAGATCAAAATTGTGGGATTAATGAGAGATAAGAGATCATAAAATTATATACGCAAACTGCAGCTAAAAGATCGCATAGTCTGCTTCATTTATTGTTCTATGTGTGTAAAAAACTATGTCAAGAAGATGCAAGTTTTACAGACTACTTTGAGATCAGAACAGCTTAGATTTTCGTATTCGAGTACAGTCGAGTAGATTTTCCGCTGAATATAGCGTGCTCGCACTACAGGTGAGATGCAGTAAAATTTGCGGATGAACAAATAGCTAAGCCTGTGACGCCGGTCAGTTGCGCGCGCAAAATGCCTGCATTACTGATGTGGCTAATAGTTTCACGCATAGATTTTACTGCATTTCACTGCGGTGCAAGCACACTATATGTATTGAGCAGAAAATCTACTCGACTGTAGTTGGTGCATGAACACGTGCAGATCTCATATATTTCCAAAAATTACATGTGACTGTTCCTAAATAAATCTGACTTGATCTTTCCATTATACAGCGCTGCTCTGACACTCTACATTAACTCGATAAAGGAATTAAGACAACAGCATGTGAACATACACCAGCGACAATAAGAAACGATACAAAAACACTGACCTGCCAAAACTCGGTCTCTCAAGGTTTTCGGCACTACAGGACTAGACCTGAATGACAGCCATAAAAATTCAAACATCTGCTCCAAAACTTTGATCTTACATCTTGTCCAACGACGAAGGATATTCTAGTGACACGTTGGCTGTGTTTTCAGCTCCATCATCATCCGAAGACTCGTCGAACAATGGTTTACGAACTTTTGAACTGACCTTCTCTCGCACGCAAACCTCAAAGCATTATAAAATTCATATTCAACAACATTTTCATATAAACAAATCAAGGAAACTCACTGGCTTGGGAGGTTTTCTCAGAGCGGAATTGATAAAGGCATCATTGAGATCAACTGATTCGTTGAAACCGAGAGAACTTCGTTTTTGCGGACTGAAAGAGGCGAAGTAGACAGTAGTAAGAAAGCTTCTTTTGTGAAAAAAAAAGAAGCATCAGTTCACCTACCTTTTATCCAGAACGAGATGTTTTAACTTAGGATTGAAGGGAGTCGATTTAGACATATTGGCCGAAGCACGAACATCTCGCAGTTCTTGCTCCAACACCTTCAAATTATTTCGTGAAAAGCTAAGTTAGAATTACATGTCTGAAGATTCACTATATACCTTAACAAAATTTTTCAAGTCGTTCTCCTTGCGTTTCGACAAGCGTAGTTGCTCCCGTTCAGCGCGCAACTCATCAGCTACACTCATCTGTTGCCTTCTCGCTTCTTCAACTTGCCTGAAATTGCATCATCAACAGGAACTACACCGGATATCATATGTGACAGAAAACGAACTTTCTCAGAATGTTCAGAAACTGTCCCATTTCAAC